TTTAGTAATATGTTGTATATCTCTCAGATTGTGACATAAAGAAGCCAACAAGGGAATTTTCTTGACTCCTAACCTAACCTTTCATTACTTTATAGCCCTATGTCTGTGGGCAGATTGGGAACCAGGTTATTCGAGGTCTGACATAAAATCTTTCAGTTTCAGGTTTCCCGTGGGAAGAGAGTGATAGCTAACAGACAAGAAAGTAAGAGAGTGTTTGCCTTTTAAGTTTCCTCCATTTCCCAACAGCTTGAGTGATCTGAGTAGACTTGTTCCTTGCTACCATCTGTAATTTTGAAATGAATTCAAATTCTGGGTATACAATTTTTAAAAAAAAAACATTATTTGGTCATATTTTTAGCAGAATTAGCTTTTAGTGATTCTAACAGGTCCACTTTTCTTTGTGAATTAATTTTTAAATTTCACTGTTTCTTGGTGGATCAAGTTGTACACATATGCACACACACATATACATATATATGTTCACACACATATGTACAGACATTTTTCAGGAGGGACTGGTCCCTCCTGATGATAGGTCAGATAATGTGACATATCATCTGACATATGATTGTCCTATGATTATCTGACCTATCATCAGGAGGGACCAGTCCCTGGAGAATGACATCAATCATGTTTGATAAAGTAGAGGGTCACCAGAAAAAGAGGAGGACCCTCAGTGAGATGGAGTGACACAGTAGTTACAATAATGAACTCAAACGAGGAAGAACTGTGCACGTGATGCGGGGCTGGGCAGTGTAGCATTCTGCTGTACATAGGATTGTTGTGAGTCAGAACCAATTTGACAACACTTAACAACAACATTATTTACTATGTAAAAAGACTAAGAATATATTACATATGAGGGGCTTCAGAAAGTTTGTGGACAGTTTCCATTATCAATTCATTTCACTTTTCTACAAACTTTTTGAAGCCCCCTCATGTGGCTCTATAGGATAAACACTGGTCTGCAAACCACAAGGCCAGTGGTTTGAGCTCAACAACTGCTTTGCAGGAGAAAGATGAGGCTTTCTACTCCTACAAAGATTTCCAGCCTTGGAAACCCTATACAGGGTCGCTAACAGTTGCAACTGACTTGATGGCACTTAACAACAATACCAACATATATACATATACGTACATATATAAGTGAAGTCTTGAAATTCCTGACTCAAAAATCCAGATTTATATGACTCATCAGCTATCCTGAGGTTAATATCTTGAAGTTTGAAAAGTTAGGGAAAGGAATGGGAGAGGAGAGGTAGCTTAACATAAAGTAATATGTTGTTGTTGTTGTTAGGTGCCATCAAGTCAGTACCAACTCATAACGACCTTATGCACAGCAGAAGGAAACACTGCCTGATCCTGGGCCAACCTCACTATTGTTGCCATGCTTGCAGAAGGAAACACTGCCTGATCCTGGGCCAACCTCACTATTGTTGCCATGCTTGAGTCCATTGATGCTGCCACTTTGCCAATCCATCTCTCTGGAGGTCTTCCTCTTTTTCTCTGACCCTCCACCCTATCAAACATGATATCCTTCTCCAGCAACTGTTCCCTCCTGACAATATGTCCAAAGTATGAGAGACGAAGTTTGGCCATCCCGGTGTCCAAGGAGCACTCTGGCTGCACTTCTTCCAACACGGATCTTTTGGTTCTTTTGGCAGCCCATGGCACTTTCCAATATTCTCCTCCAACACCATAACTCAAAAGCATCAATTCTTCTAGGTCTTCCTTATTCACCGTCCAGCTATCACATGTATATGAGGTTATTGAAAATACCATGGTTTGGGTCAGGCACACCTTAGTCTTCAAGCTGACATCTTTGCTCTTCAACACTTCAAAAAGGCCTTGTGCAGCAGATTTGCCTAATGTAATACGTCATTTGATTTCTTGACTGCTGCTTTCATGAGTGTTGATAGTTGATCCAAGAAGAATGAAGTTCTTGACAACTTCAATATTTCTCTGTTGATAAGAATGTTGTTTATTGGTTCAGTGGTAAGGATTTTCATTGAGATGCAATCCATACCAAAGGCTGTGCTCTTTATCTTTATCAGTAAATATTTTAAGTCCTCTTCACTTTCAGCAAGCAAAGTTGTATCATCTGCGTATCGCATGTTGTGTCTTCCTCCAATCCTATGCCACATTTTTCTTCATATAACCCATCTTGGATTATTTGCTCAGCATACAGGTTGAATAAGTATGGTGAAAGAATACAACTTTGTCACACACCTTTCTTAATTTTAAACCATTCAGTGTTCCCATGTTCTGTTCAAACAACTGCCTCTTGGTCCAAGTACAGATTCCTCATGAGCACAATTAATTGTTCCGGAATACTCATACTTCACAATGTTGTCCATAACTTGTCATGATCCACACAATCGAAAGCTTCTGCATAGTCAGTAAAGCACAGGTAAACATCTTTCTGATATTCTCTGCTTTCAGCCAAGATCCATTGGACATCAGCAATGATATCCCTCATTCCACGGCCTCTTCTGAATCCGGCTTGAACCTCTGGAAGTTCTCTGTCAATGTATGCTTGTTGCCATTTCTGTATTACTTTTAGTAAAACTTTACTTGTATGAGATATCAAAGAGATCATCTGGTGATTTCCGCATTCTGTCGGGTTACCTCTCTTTGGGATGGAATATAGTCCTATATAAATATATTGAATATAAAATAATGTTAAAATTAAATTTAAGGCATACATTTTATGCCAACTTATTCCAAATTTCTAAAGTTGTTTTTAACATTATTATATATCAAATGAGGTGTGTAATGTTAATATATAATTACAAACTAATGTATTAGTCAAAAATAATATTTTCTGTCAGTTTTTTAGAACAAAACTGAGTTTCTTTGTGAGCATAGACATTCAAAGAAACGATTGTTTTATTTCTTTGTTAAATATTTGCTTTGCTTCTTTCAGCTTATTGTTAAGTACCATCAAGTCAGCTCTGACTCATAGTGACCCACATAGGATTTCTGAGAAGCAGTTGGTGAGTTTGAACCACGGACCTTGCAGTTCAAACAGATCTTGCGGTCCAGTTCTTATCTTACAGTGCCACACCAGGACTCATTATTTGGAATACATTATTTGTGTGAAAAATGCTGTGATGTTGAAAACTATATGTTTAGATCTTATTTGAAATTAATAGAGTCCTACCTGGCTAGCTGTAAAACTACATGTCCTGGTACTTCTGAGAACACCAATGGGGAAGCAGTTTATGCTTTGGGCTGCTAAACAAAAGGTCGTTGGTTCAAACACACCAGCAGTTCCACAGGAGAAAGATGAGACAGTCTGCTTCCATAAAGGTTGACAGCCTTAGAAACCCAATGGGACAATTTTACTTTGTCACAGTGAGTCAGAATCAACTTGATGATAACAGGTTTGGATTTGTATTTCTGAAAACTGCCAGTCTTCAATCCTAATGTAACTCTGTAAGATCCAAGTGTTTTGTATCTTTGAATACTTTCTAATGTCTCTAGTCTAATATCAGAATTTTTGCCATGACATTTGCTTGGTATTTCTGCTGTGTAAGTTTCATTGACTAAGACAATTTACAGATTATTTCACGGCATTTGTTTCAGAGGTTCATCCATTCGTGCTAGACATCTATGTGAGTTTGAAATTCTTTTCCACATTCTGCCTTATGACCAGGATTCTCATATACAATCTTAGCAGTGGTAGTCAGGCATCATCTAGTTCTTCTGGTTTCATGTCTAAGGAGGCAGCTAGTCACTGAGGCCATGTTGCATTTTTCACATGCTTACTTTCAGGAAAAGCCATGAAACCCATAGAAACTACAGAACATAAGGAGGATAAAAGAAATCTTGTTGTTCATCTTTTTTAGATTATTTTTAGGGACTGAGGGAATAAAATACTGAAGTTCTAAGTGAAGAATTAAAGTAATATCAAGAGTCGATTTCAGATAGTGTCTCCATTATCTGATGCCTTTCAGTTGCGTATCACTGAAAACAAGACCAATATGTCTTAAAAACAAGGCATATTATCTCCCATAAACTGAGAGTGCTCCAGTTGTATCACCAAAATCCATGTTTCAGCTCAATGTCCAATTGATTGGCTCTATTGAAGTCTTGAAATGATTCCTGGAAGCTTCGAATTGACATGATTACATCACTCAGTTCAAGAAAGAAGAGAAGATGCTAACCTAACATACGTAGTTCCTAGTTACGAACAAGGCCCATTCCTAATTGAATTTTTAAGTCATTATTTGTAGATATGTAGGAACAAGCACATATAGTTCTTACTTAGCCCTACATTAGTAAAAGGCTGTACTCTTTACCTACGTGGAGTGCTGCATGTTTCTCCCAAGTAGCATCTCTCATACTCTGGACATATTGTCAGGAGGGTCCAATCACTGGAGAAGGACATGGTGCTTGGTAAAGTGGAGGGGCAGTGAAAAAGAGAAAGATCTTCCAATGAGATAGATTAACACAGTGGCAGCAGCAATGAGCTTCATTGTAACAACAATTGAGGTTCCAGTAGGATCAAGCAGTGTTCTGTTCTTTTGTGCATAGGGTCACTATGAGTTGAAAGTGATTCAATGACATCTAACAACAATCACAACAGGAATCCCAATTCCTTGAGTTTTAACTTTTTTTCTTTATTACATTGAAGTATGAGCTATTGGATGGTTAAATGAAAATGTCTGTTTTTCATTTTGTAGTTACATTCCACTTTACATTTTCCACTTTAAGAGAGACATAGAAAAAGCTCTATAATGAACTATATAGCTTGTAAAAACAGCTACCATGGAATAGTGTTACACCTGAGGGTAAAACCTGCGTACGTCACTGGTATGACACATGGTAGGCATCCAAGTTCTTTTTGGGCAATGAAAGAATAAATAAATGAATGGATAAAATATGGAAATTCTGTGTCTCAAGGTCTGATTTGATATTTCTCGGGATTTCGCACCATAATGTCTGATGCTCTCTTGGATTCTAACTGGATTTATCATTATTGTTTTTCTTTATAGAAGAAACAAAAGCATCTGAAGATGATGAAATGGAAAAGCTCTACAAATCATTAGAGCAGGCAAGTTTGTCTCCTCTTGGGGACAGAAGACCTTCAACTAAAAAGGAATTGAGAAAATCTTTTGTTAAGCGATGCAAAAATCCATCCATAAACGAGAAACTCCACAAAATCCGAACTTTGAATAGCACATTAAAGGTAAAACATTTCAGACTGTGAATGATCTCTTTGAATGTGGTGAAAGGAATATCTGATTTTCGAGGGAGATTCATGCTCATCAGAGTGGGTTTGTGTGGGTGGAGGGAAGGACAGAGAAAGCAAATGGAGTCTTTCTAGGATGAGAAGACCCTTATAGGTTGTTTTAGTACTAGGATGTTTGAGAAGTTCAACCTGTAGCATCTAAGGCCATTTTCCATAGTAGACCTTGATTTTTACATTCACTGATATAACACTTAAAATTTTAAGCTACTAGAGGGCAAGGATCAAGGAGCTCTGGTAGCATAGTGGTTACTAGTTGGGCTGCTAACCTCACGGTTGGCAGTTCAAAACTACCAGTTGTTCTGCGGCAGAAAGATGAGGCTTTCTGCTCCCATAAAGATTTACAGCCTCAGAAACCCTGTATAGGGTGGCTATGAGTCGGAATCAACTCCACGGCACATAACAACAATAGAGGGCAAGGATCACGTGCAATTTTTTTTTTTTTTTTTTTTTTTTCCTTGTGCCTAGCACATTGCTGAGTGATGCCAACGGTTAACACGCTGACTACCAAGTGAAAAGTTGTTGGCTTGAGTCTACACAGAAGTGCCTTGGAAGAAAGGCTTTAAATCTCCTTCTGAAAAGTCATAGACATTGAAAACCATAGATGGTTGACACAGTCCTTGATGGAACCTGGTTTTATTCTGACACATACGGGATTTCCATTGAGTTGGAATCCACTTTGTGGCAACTGGCTTGGTTTTGGTTTGGTACCTAGCACAGAACTTGGTTCAATGACTATTAGTTAGTCTGAGACATCCAGCTGGTGAGCATGAACAGTAGTATTAATAAGATCTTGGCATTTCAGTAGAAGATGCCATTCTTCTGTGCTACACTCAGAACATCTCTAGATTCAGTGACTCAACAGTAGGCAACAGAACCAAAGAATATCATGTGAGCTGGGCAGTGGGAAGCTAATCGGCAGATGTTTCAAGTGTTTCCACAATGTTAATAAGGATGGTGTACAGTATGTACGGAAGCTGTTTTCAGGGCCTCCTGTAACTGAAATGGTTCTTTATAACAAAAGCATCCAGCTTGTCCATTTAGATGATCCCATGACACACAACCACCACCACCATGAACAAGAGGAGGCAAGGATACTTTGTAAACTATTCCTGAATAAGCAGTGGATTTATTGATTCTGAGAAGCCTTGATAGACCCTGCACTTTAATTCTGTTTTGTACATGTCCTAAGAATTTTGAATCCCTTTCCAGGAAGAATCACACAATCAAAAAAACAAGGCTACAAAAAGGAGCCTGAGTGATTCTTGGCCAGGTGTCCCAGTTAGTCAATAAAGACTTAATCCCTTCCTCCAAAAGGCTGTGGAAATGAGATGAGAAATAAGAGGAAAGGGCATAGTTTAGCTATGCAAAGAGAATCCAAATGCAGAAATGCCAAAATTTGGAGAGTCTTCCTAATATTTAATGATGAAAGATAATACTAACAGCTGTATTAAAGGAAATTACGTTAGATTTCACAGAAGGCCAAGTTGATATATATTTGGTCATTCACTGTAATATATCCTTATGTGTTTAGATCTTGTCTTATTTGCCTGTGATAACCAACATAAAGCCAAAAACCCTGTTGCATTCCGATTCTGACTCTGTGTGTTGAAGTAGAACTGCATTCCATAGGATTTTCAATGGCTGTAATCTTTTAGTCATTTCCAGGGAGAAAGATGAGACTTTCTACCCTTTAAAGTTTTACAGCCTTGGAAACCCTATGTAGTAGGGTGGCTGTGAGTCGGAATGGACTCCACAACACATCACCACCACCACCACCAATCTCATGGAAGTAGATTGCCAGGTCTTTCTTATATGGCTCTGCTGGATGGATCTGAACTTTCAACCTTTCGATGAGCAGCTGAGTGCAATCTGCTTGCTCTACCCATGAACCTACATGATCACTGGCATCTGTTAAAACAGTTTTTACTGAATACAGATTTCCTGAATCCGACTATGCATCAGGCACTACTATAGGGCACTAAGATCAATGAGTGGGCCCCATTGTTCAGAGCAGAAGAGAGGAAGACAAATAGTGAAAATGCAATAAAATGAAGTCTGTGGTTGATCTGTGTGTAGGTTGATGTGGGAGTGCTAAGGAAGGAAGCAGCTGATTGACTGAGAGCGCCAGGGACATCATAAAGGTGTTGACAACTGACCCATGAGTGAGAGTAGGATGTCAGAAAGAGAAGGGCAGGACATTCAAGGAAGAGAAGCTAGCCCAGGCACATGTTTATCCGTGGATATTTTGTTGCCTTCCATGTTGGGTATAACAGGAAATCAAGATAGAAGGCTGGACTATGCAGTTAAGATTGCCAAAGAATTTCTGAGAGAAGCAGTCTCCGGGACTGCCATCTTCACAGAACCATGCCCACATCTGGACATGGCGAGTCCATGTAAAAAAGAATTCAAAGATTTCACTAGTCAATATAGTCTATGGGTTCTTGTTTTCCAGGCACTGATGAAGCCAGCAGTGATTTTTCTTCTCCTAACGTATTAAGGAGCTCTGGTAGCGTAGTGGTTACGAATCGGGCTGTGAACCGCAAGGTCATCAGTTCAAAACTACCAGCTGTTCCACGGGAGAAAGATGAGGCTTTCTACTCCCGTAAAGATTTACACCCTCGGAAACCCTGTACAGGGTCGCTATGGGTCGGAACCGACTCGACGGCACTTAACAACAACAACACCAACGTATTAAGGAGTCCTGGTGTGGTGCTGTGGGTTAATGCGCCAGACTGCAAAGCCATTTGAACTTCAAGGTTGGTGGTTCAAGCTCACCAGCTGCTCCTTGGAAACCCTATACAGGGTTGCTATGGGTCAGCATTGATTTGACGGCACTTAACAATAACAACGATGTATTAAGGAGCTCTTGTAGCGTAGTGGTTATGAATTGGTCTGTGAACCTCAGGGTCAGCAGTTTTAAACTACCAGCTGTTCCGTGGGAGAAAGATGAGGCTTTCTGTTCCCGTAAAGATTTACAGCCTTGGAAACCCTGTACAGGGTTGCTATGAGTCAGAACCGACTCCATAACAACATAACAACAACAACAACAACATTGTATTAATTATCAATTGCTATAGGTAACAAATTCTCTCAAAACTTAACAACTTAAAAGAATTGTTGTTGCTGTTGTTAAGTCCCGTTAAGTCTGTTCTGAGTCATAGAGACCCTGTATAGGGTTTCCAAGGAGCAGTTGTGGGTTTGAACTGCTGACTTTGCAGTTCAAACTGACCTTTTGGTTAGTGCATTATCCTGTAGTGTCACACCAGGGTTCCAAGAGAAGAACTGACATTCATAATTTCACAGCTTCAAAAGACAATGGTGGTTTAGTAGTTTCACTTTCCAGGTAGGTTTGAACCGCAAGGTTGGTGGTTCAAACTCACCAGCAGCTCCTAGGAAACCCTATACAAGATTTCCATGGGTCAGAACAGGCGCAATGGCACTTAACAAAAACAATAACATGTAGGCAACCCAGTTCTGTTTATAGCCAATGCGCCTCATGCATAACCCCCACTCATTCCTTGGTGGAGGCTCGTGTGCTGCTATGACGTGGAACAGATTTCAGCAGAGCTTCCAGACCAAGATGGATTAAGGACAAAATACTGGTGATCTATTTCAGAAAATCTAGCCAATGAAAACCCTAGGGAGCGCAGCAGTTCAGTCATTGTGCATAGGTCACTGTGAGTTGGGGATCAACTCCAGGGAAACAAACAACATGTCACCATTTCTAGGGTTTGGGAATCCAGGTATGGCATGGTTGGGCACTTTTGCCACAGGGTCTCTCACAAACTGTAGCCAAGGTGCCAGTTAGGGTGTCATCATCTTAGGGCGTCATGGGGATGTTGGCAGGATCCAGCCCATTGTGTGTTGTTGGATTAAGACTCTTGGCTACTCACTGACTACTGGCTGAGAGTTCCCCACCACAATGGTCTCTTCACAAGGCAGCTAACAACCTGGAAAACAATTCTCTCAGAGTGAGTTAGTAAGGAGAGTGAGAGAGATGGATTATTTTGCTAATTCACTAATTCAGTAGTGACATGACATCATATTTGCTTTAGAGAGAAGTCATTCGTTCTAGCCATGTTCAAGAGGAGGGAGTTACACAAAGGAATGAACACCAGAAAGCAGGGGTCACTGGGGCCCATCCCATGCCCAGCCAGAGAACTGCTCTCTGTAGATTCCTGAAAAGTGGTCCTTCTGTAACCCATTGCCTTTGATTCTATTCCAACTCTAGTGATCCTAGAGAACAGAGGAGAACCCCAAGGATTGCCAAGGCTGTAATCTTTACAGATCAGACTGCCACATCTTTTTCCTGTGGGGAAGTTGGTGGGTTCAAATGCCTGACTTTCTAGTCAGCAGCCAAGATATTAAGTACTGCACCACCAGGCCTCCTTAACCATCCCCCCGGTCCCTTAGACCCTTCCATAGTGTGATGTTTGGGGGCTGATGAGATGCAGCTTATATTATGTGGTCTCATCACCCTCATTTGCAGGTGATGGAACTTGATGAGGTAGAGATTGGATTTGCTGGGGACAAAAAAAAGCACATTGACCTAGTCAATGGAGAAAGAATTTGGGACCTGTATGTTTATTCATTTAAAATGGCTATATAGAATTATTTTTAACTCTCATTAAAATTCAAAGCAGGCAGGATAGTGGTTACTTTAGAGGAGAACAGGAGGGTAATGACCAGGAGGGGAAATGAGTGGTTCTGAAGAGCTGGAATATACTTCTTTCTTGACCTCAGTTGGCATACTAGGTTAAGAGTTGGGTTGCTAACCATAAGGTCAGCCATTGGAATTCACTAGCTGCTCTGTGGGAGAAAGATTTCTTCTCCCATAAAGATTTACAGCCTCAGAAACCCTATATAGGGTCACTATGAGTCGAATCGGCTCAGTGGCATTGCGTTTGTTTTGGTTAGTTTGGAGCTCAGTTTGGTTA